GGCGTTCGGCGAGCTACAGGCAGGGAATGCAGGGCCGGTTTGGCCCTCAGCAAACCTTCGTTGGGGCTGTATTTTCAACACGTCAAACAGTTCAGTAAACAAAATCTAAATTACTGTACTACACTACCTAGGCTATTTGAAGGATTTTTTCAGAAATCAGTGGTAAAATAACTAAATGTACTCATATTACGACCCTTTTCTTAGCCAAAGTATTTTAGTTTCATTGAACCAGGACAATATTAAAAGGTGCTTATGGGACATTCTATATATTCCAAGTAATGTAATGCTGGTATGTTATCATTAATGTTTGACGATTGCTATCTTTCTCTGCTTTGGTGAGGCGACAAATGCTTTCCTTGAGGAGCAGGCGACCGTGGGCTGTTGGTGGGCGATGGGACGCAGGCTGCCGCACGGGTGAGAGGAGGGAAGGTGGTGGGAGGGCGCGGCGCGGCGCGGTGCATCTGTCGGCCAGAGCCAACGAGAGAGAGATTCCGATGCAGCGGCTGCTGTTGCTCCGCGCCCGCATCTTCCAACGGTCGCGCCGCGCCGCGCCGCCTGCCTCCACCTCCGCCTCCGCCTCCGGAGCCGGCGCTCGGGCAGCGCCTGCCGCCTTCCGCCCCGATTGAGCTGGCGCGCGTATGCGGGTGGAGCGGCGGAGATTCGCGTCAACAATGGGGCGGGTGGAAATAAGCCTGCCTTCGAATTCTCCCTGCGAATGTGTTTGGGAATAGTTTCCTCAGCTTTTCGCTTCGGTATTCGGTCGTGCGGCAGGGCGTCTTCAGAATATTGGGCGGTTAATGTCATTTCGATGGGGTAATGGATGTACAGTAGTGCTAAAAAACCGCATCACCTTTTTCACAACATAATCCTAAAGATACAACAGTTGATTTGCAAAAATCTGGCGAACTATCAAGGTAATAGAATCAGAAACATCTTATAATCTACATGAAATATGATTATCAATTTCTACGAATAATTGTTTAATTTTTTTACAGGAGATTCGATTAGAAAGTACAGAATGCCCATTTTCTTCAGGTGATGCGGTTTCTTTGAGCACCGGCGGGAACAATATTGAGTGCAAAACGATGCGATAATAAAGGTACTATAGTTGACTGTTGAGCATGTGTGGATCAATTCACAATAACATGTTTTCATACATGATTTCTTGAATATTGCCTACCAAAACAGCGTTTCTGTTTATTCAACACACATTTACTCAACACGTAGACAATTAGCCTAAACCTATTAGGAGTATTCGGGTGTTCTCCGTGCATCGCTCGTAACTTTGACTGTATCTAGCTTGCATCCAAGGCGGCATCCCTATCAAAGAACGCCTCGTCCTCGGCTGCGTGACAAAACGCGCAGCATCTCGTGGCGGGAAGCGCGGTCCAGCGCGCGCAGCGTTGCAATGCCTCCTCTGCCGCTGCGCTGCTCTCCTCCGCCTCGCGCTGCTCAGCGCGCCGCCCGCGCCGGCCTGCGCGCCGCCCGCGCGCGCGGTTTAGTTCGAGGTCTCGGGTGTGCACCGCGCGCGCCGGCCGTCGGGCTGCCTCGAGCGGCCTGCGCACGTTGTTGGCTTGTGCCGGCGCGCCGCCGGAGAGGCTGGGGATGGATGTTCGTAACGCGGACGGTTTGGTGTCTCTGGCGTGCGGCTGCCCGGGGCCAAGGGGTGCGTTTATCCGCGGGAAAGGATTGGGCTGTTCTCTCGGCGGGTGGGCGGGCCGGTGCAGTTGTCCCAGCGACGGTGAGTTCTGCTCGGAAACCAAGATCGCGGGTGGTACGAGGTGCGCGACACTCTAGACTCGCTCGTCCCATCTGCTTCTTCGCGCGCTGCGTCGGATGAGGAAATCGCCTGGCGAGCTGCCAGCGGCAGGGTGGGTGCAGGTCTCGATTGGATTCGCAGAGTGGAGGTTGTTCTTCCATGGGTCTTGTTCTAAAGCGTTTTTT